TACAAACCTACACAATTATATACAATAAATACAAATATCCTATTCTAACTAGCTTAAGTTTTTTATAAGAAATAACTTGGCCACGTCATGAAAAGAAAGTAACTACGTTTGTATAATCTTCAATCCCATCAAAGATCTGAGAAGGGAAATAATGTTACCTGAGTAATTAGGAAGTGCAATTAAACTTCCAGAACATGTAACAAATCACATAACAAATGGCTACCTGGGCAAACACCCAAAATCACGTTTGCAGCGTTGAAGCAACCAACTTTGGCTAAGGCCTAACATAACTGACATACCATTTTCAAAGGCAAGGAACTTTTCAAAACTATCTTATCCTGTCTTGGCAGGATATGACAGTCCTGTTTTATCCATTTACGGATACTCTGTAACTCTGTCAGTAGTTGAGGTATGGGCATTTCTTTACCCAAAGGCCAGTTCTGCCAAGAAGAAAGGCTCCAGGTGGAGTGTCTTTGGTGCTCAACATTCTCTCGGGAATAGATCAGTGTTGCCAGGAGCAATTGTGTCTCCCTACCACAGAACTCTGAGTTAGATTAAAGGCCATTTTCTACAGCTCTTTGAAGAGGTTGAAGATTATCTATCTATACTGAATATAATGTCTATGTATCTAAAGAACCTGATTAGTCTAATTATAAATGACAAACTTAGATGACTATTGATCTATATTATTCTCAATATCTATTTAACTTAAAGACTGAAATAGTAAACAACTGTGCAATAAATGGGGACAATATGACCTCCAAATATAAACAATGTGCAAGTATACATTGCAATATGGTAAATATATATATCAATACATAAACAATATATAAGCATCTTAATCAGAGGTAGAAGTGTACAATGCAATATGGTAAAATATACATATATCAATACAATATATATATATGTCAATACATAAAAATGTTTTAAACAGAGGTAGAAGCATGCATGCATAAAATAGTCAACATAATTTAAGTTTGTATCAATATATAAGAATCAATACCAATATATTTGTCTAAAAACAATAACTCACAAGTACAAAGCTATTATCCCATAATCCAATTATCCCTCTTTTTTTTTTTAAGGATTCCTGCGCTTATAAAATTCCTCCCCCAACCCTCAACCCTATACTAATTATAACCAACCCCTAAATGATGTCCCTAAACCCAAGGACAAACTTTACTGGGAGAGGGGACGTCGTTCTCTAGAATTACTTCCAGCTATCATGGGGGCGACGTTCTTTCTGGGGGATCCTGTGAAAGCAAAATGATGGTTAAATTTCAAGATCAATGTCTTTTAAAATTGCAAATAGTCTCTGAGTATTTTGTGGAGGACTGGCCAGAATGTTGTACAAGATATGCATCATTTCAGCTAACCACGTTGGAATCGTCTTGTGCAGCTGGTACTCAAAACAGGTCTTGTAGTAGCGCTATCAGTATCATGATGTCATATCAACCAGGTGGAGTTGTTGTTATGGGGCCCCATCTTCTTCCTGGAAACTTCAAATGTCACTGCAGGAAAAACTTATTGTTCATTGTGGAAAACTTAAACATTAATCATATACATTAATCATATATTAATATCATATATTATATGATTATAATAATATATAATCATATATTAATAATATAGACATATACAGACATACATATATTCAATAAAAGACATGATATATTTAATGAAAGGTATGATAGATATGAAGAAAAGTAAAGATGTTTTCTAAACTCATATTCCTTTCTGTCCCATATCATGGCTCTTGACATGAGACAGAAACTCCAGAAACTCTGGGTTTTTCTTTTAACAACAGGCTTGGAATTAGAGAGGGACTGAGCCAGAGTCCAACTCTAAAACCAGCTCTATAAATTTAGAAATATGATTTAGTATATTTTACTTACAGAACCTATTCAGTTTTCTTGATAGTCCTTATTGGGCCATTATTTTCCATCTGTCAGTATTCAGATATCCAGAGTCCCTTGAACTTATCAAAAATTAGTGTTTTCCTGTGGAGATAAGAACAGAACCCTGCCCCCATTCTATATGTTTTTTCTTACCAACTGTATGAATATCATCATTGTGGATGAGCTGTCATTTCTCCTTTCCAAGAGGTTTCTCCTCTTCAAATCGAACCTTTATTAATTTTGATGGTATCCACAATTTTTCTTCTCCTGTGGAAACAAGAGCAAAACCCCTTCCCCAACGTAGCACATCTCCTGGCCTCCATTGAGAGGTCAGCTCGTCTTTGAAATAAACAGGTTGGTTTAGTTCAGAAGTTTTTTCCATTATCCAATGCCTCTCTGCTGCTGTTGTTCCTTTCTCATTAGCATTAAGAAAATTCAAGGTTAATAAAGCATTATGCAATCTATTTCTGGGGGTATCTTTCGTCCCTTTCTGTTTGTTTAGAATATCCTTTATAGTACGATTTGATCTTTCTATAACTGCTTGACCTGTAGGATTGTATGGTATACCTGTAACATGCTTAATATTATAATAAGCAAAAAATCGTTTCATTTTCCTAGATACATAAGCTGGACCATTATCTGTTTTTATTTGTGCAGGTATACCCATAATGGCCATAACTTCTAATAAATGTGTGATTACTGAGTCAGCTTTTTCTGAGCTTAAAGCAGTTGCCCACTGAAAGCCTGAATAAGTGTCAATGGTGTGATGTACATATTGTAATTTGTCAAATTCTAGAAAGTGAAACACATCCATCTGCCAAATTTCATTCCTTTTAATACCCTTTGGATTAGTCCCTGCCCACGTTGGGCGCCAATTGTCGGCGAATCAATCCCACACCAGTTATGTTTTAAGGGGTTATTTATTTTGGGGGGTAAAACTTACATACACCATAAACCGTCAGGAAGGGAGCCTAGTCACTGGAGCAGGAGTCGGGAGCAGGAGCCTGGAGCAGGAGCCGGGAGCAAGCACCAGAATCAAGAGCCGGAACCAAGAGAGCCTGATCCGGATCTGCTTCTCTTTTTAAAAGAGAAATATACCACACCCCAGTGGGCTGGTATTTCAGCAGCTATTGGCTGACGGAGCGGAAGTCGCTCCCCGCTGCACTGTGGGCTCGTATTTCAGCGACTATTGGTTGAGGGAGCGGAAGTTACTCCCACAACACCATGGCAATAGCCATTCTTGGCATCGGGGGCAATTCCTTTATTATTCCCCCCTTTGTTTCGATTTTAACAAGAACTGGTAAGTTCTCCAGTCCAATTACCTAGAAGATAACTAGACTATTGCTTAATCTACCAGAGGCATGTTGGAAACTATGGGTTTTTTTTTTCTCTAGGCCGCACTTGGCAGGCATAAACCTCATTGAACATTGTCCCTTTAGGGCTATGTGTGGCCCTGGGCCTGCTGGCTGGGCGGCTCCAGCTCCACGTGTCCGGGCCAGGAAGTGGCGGCTCCATCCCCAGGCGCCCCTGCCTTCCCCACGGGGCTAGCCTAGTTTTCTGCAGCTGTGTTGGTGGGGGAGTGTGGCGGGAGCCGACACCGGGAGTGAGGCGGCACAGGCCAGCAATATCTCAAGGTCCACGCCGGAGCCGCTGTGGCTCAAGGGGCTGATGGGAGAGGCTGCGAACAGGGCCGCTTCCTTATTAGCAAACTCTCAACACCTGTGCCACAGTAAAAGTGGCTGTAAATTCTCATAGATTTAGCCAATGACCCAATCACCTTAAAATTCAAGGGCTTTTTGCATCCACCTCCCTGTGGATCCTGAAACATTAGATAAGCCAAGCGTATATACAGCAATCTTTCAGGAGGACTTGAGTTCTTAAAATGTTAAGCAGCTTTTAAAAACTTAAGTCTACTATGTAGATGTAATACGGTAGTGCCTGTTTACTGCGTCTAAACCTTAATTGCGCTTTTATTATGATAATTACAATCAGTCCTGCCTGAAGTCAGCATAGTTTAGCATAGCCAAGTGGAACCAGAGCCATTTTTGCCTCAGAGACCCTCACAATTTTAGGTACATTGTAAGCCTTCAGGCCTGACAGCTTGTGGCACCACTCTCATTCTCGGTACTGCTGTGACACCCTCCAGGCCAGGCACCGACTGAGCCAGTGCAACGTGCCCCCCACTATAGCCACCCAGCAAAGCTCCGCTCCAGCCACCCTTTAGCTGCAGCTGTACCCACTCCGAGCCCAAACCGGTGTACGGAGCAAAGCAGAACTCAGAGAAGCAGGCTTGCTGCTCTGCAAACATTGAAAGGACCTCATTTAATCTTTTAGGGAATTTGGGCGTCATCAGTCTCTCTGGCTATTTCCTGCTGAATTGGGACGTTGTATTCTTAGGGGTATACACTACAACATTTCAGGAGGTCTCGGCGATTCAAACCACATAAATCCCAAGTACACCTTTAGGCTCTCATTTTCTGTGGAGACGAAAACAGAACCTCTTTTCCAAAACATCATATCCTTAGCAATTCCTAAATTTAAATATCTTTCTCCTGTCCGGTACACAAAAGACAACATGAACAACATAACATAAAGCTTTTGACCTTGTAGATCAGTCTTCTCCCCCATTTTTAGAACCACCGGGGAGTCATTTTTACTTATTTCCTTTTCTTGCGCTTGCGCCTAACCTCTCACTGCATCCAGTTTCTGATATGCCATCCTGAGTCCAGGAATAATCATACCTCTCTGAACATGCAGACCTGCAGTTCTGAATCCTTCCTGAATCCAAGGTGAATTCAAGAGATCCCCGTTGGTGTGAGTGATGGTCAGGATTTCTCGGGTGTCAGCACCAAATGTCCCACTCTATCGTCTTGCCAGCAAGAACCACGCGGGACACTAGGATTCTTCTGCAGAAATAGCTTTAATGAGTCCTGAGAGAGAGCATCAGCTAACATGGCCGGGGACCCCTAAATGAGGGAACCCCTCCTTTATATAGGAAACAGTCCTTGCTTCGGACGTGTCACCCTTGGATTGGTCCACTGCCCAATTAGCCCAGGTGAAGCCTCGGAAGTAGGCGGGGACAGCAGTGGAAAGTTACCTAGCACATGTGCGTTCACCTGGCGGTGAAACCGGATGCCAGCACCATCTTGTAATGGGGCATGTGGATGCGGCCCTTCACACTTTGCTACTTTGTTTACAGAATCACAATTTAACAAATTTAACAAGTGAATAAATTTAGTACTTTTTCCCTGCATTTTTAAAAAGAGAAAAGTGACAAATATCAATTTAAATTACATAGTTGGGTGAGGTGTTTTATTTGACAGGAATACAGAATCAAAAGACAAGATCTGTATCTGATTATGTTTATTTTCTACTCACGTTCACAGACAGGAGACTTGTTCTAGATTACTGTCTCTCCTTCTAGGACACACTGATGAGAAGATTTGACATTTAACTGGAACCTTAAACAATGAGGAGCAGCAAATCATCACTAGAACAACTCACCTTTCAATTGTACAGATTGAATCACTTCTTTCAAGTATTTGTAAGATGGTATGCATTTTAAAATATTTATGACTTAAGAAAAAGCACATAGTTACTTGTGAATCTGCTCCACCAAACAATAAATCAAAAATGGATTAAAACATACAAAAATGCGTTTTTTCTTTAGAATTCTCCCTCTCCTTTTTAGCATCCACATGTCAGTTGTATCTAGATCATTTTGAGGAAAACAGTCTCAATTCCTATAGGGAAAATACCAAAGACCTTGTTACCCAAGCTTATTTCAATGAGTGTAGCTACCAAGGTCTTTTTTCCTTCTCCTGGCGATTCGCAGGGCCGTGTGACCTCCAGCTCCCTGGAGATTCTGCTCTAGCACTGGCTTGAGGGGATAACTTAGCAAGAACCTGGCTCTCTTTGTTATGGTGATTCCACCTGTATTCAAGGTTTTAGTAGTGGGTTCCATAGCCTGCCTCCCCCAGCTGATTCTGCCAGAGGTGCCAGGGGCCTTTAATCTTCACCTCCTGCTCCTGGATGGGAGGAGGCCTTGCCCTTTTGTTCCTGCTTGCCCACTTCTATAAATACCTGACTTGAGTTTAATAAAGTTGCCATTTACTCTGGTAAATGAGCAAAGGTCTCTTTTTGTGTGTGTCTCTTTTAACCCTCAGGACAATCGTCCATTCTTGTGGGTCCGAGTTCGGGAAAGCGCGCCCCTGGATTCGGTGTGGGTATCCACAGAAAAGTGAGGGGTCTTACAAATGAGTATCACTAAGTCCAAAGTTTTCATTCATTCTCCATAACAGGAGTCTTAATTTGTGAACTTTGAATTTCCAGATGATGAAATGACATTTCCTACTTTTGCTGGTCAAGCACAAAATATACACACTTCACGAAAAGAAAAAAGAACTGGTTAATGACAGAGTTCTTAGTCAGAAAAGGTCAAGAAAAGGAAAGAAAATATAAGACAGTAAAAACTTAACTAACTTTAGAATTCATATTTTGAAATCATTATGGGAAACCATCAGGGCAGGATTTATCACATCACACTCACCCTTTATTACAAACAAAGGAAACCTCTGCTCCAAGTTAAGATTAGAAGGAAGAAACACATGGCCATTGAGAAGTTGGTTTGGAGTGGCATCACATGATATCACTAGGAAAAAAAAGAGACAGCTTGCACATGAAGAGTCAGGAAACAGTTGAGTTTTCTCAACTCTTTGAATATAGCAGACTGTCTAGGCACCTTCACATGTTGGGGCTGCATGGCTCCAGGTTCCAAAGGATGTACACAGGACCAAGTTGGTTCCAATGAGATTATAGCCAGGTTCACAGGTATATGACACTTCCTGGCCTACAGAAAAGAATTCCTTATCTTTTTCTTTATAATCACTGTGATGGATGTTTTCAGGTGGTAGATATCCTGAGGAAAGAATAGGACCAGAAAGTTCTTTTATTTCTGCAATAAGAACTTTATTCTTTATAACTTACAGCTAGTTGTCTTGTTCTTAGTTGGGTGGGATAAAGATATTCATAGAAACTCTACCATACTAAGGCTGAGAAGTTGGGTCATAGAGTGGGCTTAATGTGCCTTTTTCTGCTCAGATATGAAAACCCATATGTCTACCTGCGTTCTCTTTATTTATCCATGCCAGTGAATATTACTGTTACTCATTTTCACTTTGTTCTATTAAAAAATCTGAGATAGCCTTCCATCAACAGGCTAGAAAAGGAACCAAACTTTTACAACACAAATTTTCCCCACCCAAATCTGCCACATTCTTTTAAGTTCAAAAACAAGGCTTCTGAGACTTCTGAATTTTGTTGCCAGGCTTTTAAAAAGGCAGACATTTTATATTAGGAGTAGAAGGAGAGAATGAGGGCCACAGGCTCAAGATAACTACCAGCTTTCTTCCACAAAACTTATTTTCATTATCAAGATGGATATCTACACAATTTTGAATCAAATTCCTATCTTAGTCAATTCCATCTTTCAATATGGCCAATATAATGGAGAATTTATCCTCACTTAAATAAAATAAAATTATCTAAAACTCTAATGATGAACTTTTGTACTGGGTTTTAAAATTACTTTTATTCTTTAAAGGATGTAATCGTACATATTTATGAGAAACCATGTGATGCTTAAATAAGTATATTGTATAATATGAAAGTAAGGGTAAACATCTGTCTTCTAAAACTTATTTCTTTGCAAGTGAAAACTTTCAAAATCCTTTATTCTAGATTTTAAAATATATATGAAAAGATATAATAAACAGTGGGAATTCTATTGTTTATAGGGACACAGGAATTTATTTCTCCTATCTAATCTGACTTTTGTCTCTGTTCTTAACAGCATTTGGTATACTGTGCAATGAAGGAGTCTTTATATGTGTAAAAATTAATTCAGGCCCTCATGCCTGTGTGTGTGTATGTGTATGTATGTGGGAGTGTACACTGATACATATGTATATAGAGGAGATGATCTTATTTTATGAGACAAGGGAACTGGCTCACCAGCTAAGCTAGACTGGCTGCTTGTCAGCAAGCCCTAGGGATCTGTCTGTCTCTGTCTCTCAGATTTTGGGATTAAAAGCATGTGCCACTACAAAAGCTATTTTTTAATATATAGGTTTTGTTTATTAAGCTCAAGCCTTCACATTTGTACAAGCACTTTATACACTGAGCCAACTCCCCAGTTCTATATTTTTTGATGAGTCATTATAAAGTGAAGAGAAGTTATACATAATTGTGGTTTGATTTGCGTTTCCCCGATGATTAGTAATGTTAAACATTTTGCCAAGTATTTGTTGCCCAGATACGCAAAGTTTCAGCCCGACTTACCCCTGAAGCATGTTGGCAGTGGAGGGCTCCATTTTCTGTTTAGCTGGCACCACACTATACTGCTGCCTTTCATAGTAAAGCCAAGCTTGCACTTAAATGTTATTGTGTCATTTAAGAAGAAGGAACATTTAAATCCAGACTCCACTTCTCCATTTTCAATTTGTGGCACTGGGCACTTGACTATAGGAATACACTGAGGGGGTGGACTGTTCCAGATGCCAACTTGATTGTCTTTGCTGGTGCAATGTATTGACTCCTTACCCACAGGTCAAACAGTTTTTCCCCATTTTTTCCAACATGGCAACTTTATTACCATTCCATACAAAAAGGTGTCTCTACTGCTTCTGTAAAAGTACCCATTGGCAATGACTGGAGGTGACTCACAAGGAATAGCTTTTGAAGGGAAGTAGTTAAGAAAAGAGAGAAAGCAATTGAAATGTTCTATTTTCTAAAAATTTAGTCTTCATTTTCATAAACCAAACTTAAACTTTACTTACAACTTATTTTTAATAATGAAATTCTGTATTCTGATCAAATAAAAATAAGTCAGAAATGAAAATACAAGGAACTGCCTGATTAAAAAGTCAAAAAGCTATGAGGGCAGACAGAGTACAGTCTGTGTTATTAGAGATTTCTTGGTGTGATCTAATTTTACTTGGTTGCATTTGTCATGTGTAAACTCATGCATATTTTAAACTTAAGAACCTATTCACCACTAAATAACATCATAAAAGAACATTAATGGAATAGTGTGATAGGATTAGAGATCATGGAAGAATATCAGTCAGAGCTGTGTCCATAACAACCAAACCGAGTGAAATGTCTCAGGCACTCATTTTTATGCACCAATACCCAGTTTCCCTTTAGAAAGGGATGAGAAAAATTTAGTAGGATGTCATAAAGTGATCATTTTACTCACATTCACAAGTAGGCCTGTCATTATCCCAAATTAGATTATTGTCTGAGAGAATACATCTAGCAGATGAGTCATCAATGAGTCGATATCTGGAGGCAAAGAGGTGCTTAATCACATCCAGGTCACACTTAACACTTTAGAAAAGCCTAATTTTTTCCTCTTAAAGAAGGAGGAAAGGGTAGAATAACATTCATGATATGGTGAAATAGTGATAAAGAAGTGCTTCCTTAACAGGTTCAACATTAGAGCAAATGAAGTCTGACTTTCTTGTCAATAGCACCAGAGACTTAAAATTGAAGCAAGGTAGCTCCATCTTCTTTCTTTCTAAGGACCCCCTTAACTGAGCAACACTGAAATGTCATTTCTAAAGCAGACCAAGGAGACCATGCTTCTGTTTTTATTCATATTAATGGGTTTATGGTTAGAAATATTATTTCTGTATCCATATACCCTGAAGAGGCTTCCTGCCTACTCACCCTGTATTACAAGGATATGGAATTGTTGACCCAAACTTGATAACCATACTTATATTCACAGAGCCATGGAGGAGGTCTCCAGGAGTTGTACAAGATCTACCTACAAGGGAAACAAAACAGGATTTGGGGCTGGAATGGAGAAGACTTTATGCGTTTTCTATTAAATTCCCTGACTGGACTTGCTGATCGTTCTGCGTATGTTTTCTCAAAGCAGTTTTTGAAATTTGTAAAATCTGTGCTTTCTCAAGGAGAAACACTGTTCAAACCTTATTGTCTTTATTTCTGTGTATGAGAGAAAACTTTATTTGTGGTCAATTCTATATTAAAAACTCTATGTTCTCATTATTAAAATCTATCAGCTAATGGCATCATTTACCAAGTCTCATGTATTAAAAGCCTACAGTCATCATTTCCTCTCTATAACTCATCCTCTAATCCTTCAGTTCAATTAGTTACAAAATTTTATGGCCTGGATTCCAGAATATCTCCCAAACCTATTACTTTGGCGTTTTTATTGTTTTACTGTATCGTTGAGTGGCAAAATTTGTCACGACCGCCTTGCCAGCAAGGAAGACGCAACACCGGACTCTTCTCTCTGTGGTTTACTCAGGACCTTTGAATAATTTTCTCACCCTCTCACCCCAGGGCAATGCCAGCCTACAGTTTATTTAACCTTTGGGTAGCCAACCCCAGCAAGCCACGTGGGTAATGCAGATAGCTCCAAAAACGTGGAAGCAAGCCAGATCTTTAGCTTTAGCCATATATGGAGTTGTTCACAGCTGAGAGCACTCACCATCAGGAAGGTGGAAGGCAGAAACCAGCGCCACCTTTAAGGTGTGGCATCATGCAGCTCTCTACAAAAATTCATCTTTCTAATGCTGGCCTCCCTTGGTCTAGTACTTCCACCATAACATGTCATGAGTTTCTCTTTCTTTCCTTCCTTCCTTCTTTCTTTCTTTCTTTCTTTCTTCCTTCCTTCCTTCCTTCCTTCCTCCCTTCCTTTCTTTTTTTAAGATTTATTTAATTATTGTGTATACAGTATTCTGCCTGCATGCACACTTGCAGGTCAGAAGGGGGCACCAGATCTCACTCTAGATGGTTGCGAGCTATCATCTGGTTGCTGGGAATTGAACTCAGGACATTTAGAAGAGCAGGCAGTGCTCTTAACCACTGAGCCATCTCTCTAGCCCAAATTTCTTCTTTTATATATAATATAATTAATATAATATAATCAATATAATAATAAAATATAATATAAATAAATATAAACATATCATACTTCTCTCTCAAAAATTTATGATGAATTAATATTATTCACAGAAAAAGTATACAATCTTGGAGTTTATATGTACTCAAACCATACTGCTCTTTCTCCAGTTTTTCCAAAGATATCATTTCTGCTGGGTGATGGTGGTGCACAGCTTTAATTCCAGCACTCTGGAGGAAGAGGTAGGCACAGCTCTGTGAATTTGAGGCCAGTCTGGTCTATAAGAGCTAGTTTCAGGACATCTAGGACTGTTACACAAAGAAACTCTGTCTCAAAAAACAAACAAAAAACTAAAATATCAAAGATATCATTTCCTCCAAATTTCTATCCAGAAGACCTCAATCTCCCTAATTCTCTTAGACAGCATTTATTTTCCTATGGTTGAATAGAAGTTTACCTCTACTATTAAACAACATCATAAAGCCTGGACATAGAGTGCTTGCCTTGCCTGAACAATGCCTTGTGTTCAATCCTTAGTTATATGTTATATATGCATAATTTGTGTTGTCCCTTATACAATCCATTGTCTACTGCTTCATTCTTGTTATTTAATAAAAATATCTCTTGAATTAAATGTGGTAAGAATAAGATGAAACTAATATTATTTTGTACACTAATATTTAATCTCTAAGACAATGTAAAAATCATAGAATGATGTCAGAAAGATGATGCTAAACCATGGTGATGACTTAAACCCTAGTATTCAGAAAATTTAGGAGTTAAAGGAAACAAAAAGGCTGGGATCACACTTTTGTAACATGAGGGGACCGGCTTGTTGGGGTTTCCGTTCCACCCGGTACCCCACAACCAGCAAATCCCAAAGAGAATCACACACAGGCCTCCTTAAGGTTATAAACTGATTGGCCCATTAGGTCAGGCTACTTATTAGCTCTTATAACTTATGTTACTCCATTATTCTTATCTACGTTAGCACATGGCTCATTACCTTTTCCAGTGGGGCAGCTTACATCTTTCCTCTATGGTGGCCTGGGCAGAACTGGAGGAATGGCTTCCTCCTTCCTGGAATACTCCTGTTTTCATCGCCCCGCCTCTACTTCCTGTCTGGTTGACCCGCCTATTATTTCCTGCCTGGCCAATCAGCATTTTCTTAAAATATCCCGTACTTTTGTCAATATTTACACAGAAGAGTCCAAGTCAGCATTCCAGATATACTTGCACATCAATGCTTATTGTAGTATTATTCACAGTGGCTAAGTTATGGAACCAGCCTAGGTGCCCAGCAATAGAATAAATTAAGACAATATATGTATACACAATGGAACCAATATATGTATACACAATGGAACCTTTTCAGCTATCAAGAATGAAGTTATATTGTTTGTAAGAAGATGAATGTAACCAGAGATAATAATATCAAGTGAATTAAGTCAGATTTAGAAAAACGGGTATCTCTTTTTTTTCTCTCTCTTATATATTTGAATGTAGATACAAACTGTCTGGAAGAACAAATGGTACTAATGGGAGGGGAGAAGATTACAAAGGAGGGGGGGTCATAGGATATCCTCAAAGTATATTATATACTTGCATGAGACTAGCCTTATATAACCTTATGTAATAAGATAACCTTATGTGATAAAATAGTAATAAAATGATGAGCCTATATACTTTTTGGTAGGGTTGAAGGGAAGTTATGTCAGCTATTAGTACCAGTTATTTTTCTTATCATTGTGACCAAATGCTTGACAGATACAACTTAAAGGAGGGGGGATTAGTTGGCTTATGGTCCAGGGGATATCATTCATTATGATGAGGAAGGTATATGACTGGAGCAGCTTGGTCTTTAGGGGAAGAAAACTTCAATAGCTGCTGGTTACATGACACCAGTCAGGAAGTGGAAAGTTTAGCTGGAAGTGGGGGAGGATATATAACCTCCATGGTCCACTCTCCAGATAGATCTATGGCCTTCTAAAGGTTCTACAGGACAGCTGTAGACTGACTGTTCAGATACATGAGCTTATGGCAGACACATTATAGTCAAACAATAATGGGTACAAAAAATAAAAAAATCCTCTAGTTTTATGATAAAAATCAGAAATATACACATAAAAGTGTCTTTAAAAGTGTTTTTAAGATTTTATTTTTATTTCATATCTAACAGTGTTTTACCTACATGTATGTATGTACACTATATGTGATCAGTGACTGCAAAGTCCTTAAGACAGTTATGCATTCCCTAGAACTGGAGTTGTGGGTGATTATGAGGCACCAAGTGGATGCTGGAAACCAAACCTTGTCCTCTACAAGAACAGCAAGTGCTCTAACTACTGAGACATCTCTCCAACCTTCCAAGCAAAAATCTTATAAATAAAAGCTTTTAGCATAGGATACTAAATTATCATAGAGATATTTTAAAATTAAATTTACTTTAATTGATTTATATGTGATACCACTTCTACCAGTTATTCTAATTAGATAATAATGTGTGATTATCAAACGTAAATAAGGACAAAGTTAAATTATCTTCCACAATATGGGAAACCATTTACATTCATAAGATTCAATCAGTGATAACAATACAGACAAAGAGGAATACAAGATCTGGAAACTACAAAGGAAGAGGGAACTTTATAATGTGACTTTCCATGTCAAAAAGAGGCAAGAATTTTTCTTTCTGGGTGAGGATTAATGGAAGTCTCATCTCTAGTAAAGAGACCTTGGACTTTTACTAAAACTACCCACCTCCCAACCCTCAGTACAGAATCTCCAAAGACTGGATTCTCCTCCAATCAGAAAAGCAAAGGAGCAGGTGACTTGTCTCACTGGCTAAAGACACTGTTCTCTAACCTGACTGATCAATTAAGTTTAATTCCTGGAGCCAAAGGTGAAAAGAGAGAGCAAACTCATTTTAAATAGTCCCTGACCTCCAAGCACATGCCATTGAATCCACACCCCCCAGTAAACAAATAAATACATGTAATAATTTTTCAAATTGCATGATGTGGGTTTTCTTAAAAGTCCCTGTTCCCTCTTTTCCTCTTTTTAGCGTCAGAGTGAAGATCAGAATAGCGACTATAACACAGAAAATGTTTCTGGAGGACAGGGTGCAATGAACTACTTAGATCTAAGGGGCTTCACATGGATGATTTAGAAATCCTGTGGAAGTAGATGGAGGATTTATGAATGGGATGAATATAAAGCTGGCCAGAAATCAGGAACGGGGTGGGAGACCATTATTGAGAATTATCATCAAATGCCTTAACACTGGGACTCTGAATATCTAATAGCTGTTTTTTAAATGAGAGTTATGTATATTAAGGAAAATATGGTACTAAGCATAAAACATTCATCAGTGAACATGAAAGGAGGTCCAGTCATCCCTAGAATTTGTTTTCCAGTAGAAGTTGTACCACAACTAATGCAAATACATTAGTTCTGCATTTAATGACTAGATTCACCATTAACTGCTAATTGCTACACTTGTAAGTGTCAACAATCAAGTACCGTGACCTAATTTCCCCAGCAGCTCATGATTTCTCACAGCTCTGTGGGACGGTAGCACAGCTCATTTCTAACTTCATTTCATATGTGAGAAACTGAGGGTCGAGGCTCTAACCGACTTTCTAACATTTACCCAGCTATTGATATTTGCTTATAGTTAATATCTTATAACCTATGAATATATTCACTATGAGAATAAATTATATTACGACTTGCCAAAATTCACCCAGCTATTGAGGTTGTCTTATAACCTATGTCTTCACTACCAGAGCAAACTATACTACTTTAAAAGCAAGCCAATCTGTAAAACAAAAACAATAAAAAACCAAAAACTGTTACAGAGAACGTTGAAGGAGAACCTATGTAAGCATACACTGCTACAGAAGTCACAGTCTTAAATATCCTATCAAAGTCAAACAAAACCTGAGACCCATACTGGAGAATCGGTATTATTCTTTAAGAAAAGCAGGGACTCAACAACCCTTCCATGGCTAGAGAGGATTTCTGCATGCACAGAAGCACATGAGCCCTATGATCCTTGAACACAGCACTTGGCTGAATTCTCAAGAGGCTGGGAATCCTGAGAGAGAGAGAGAACCACCAAACAGCAGCAGCAGTCATTCAAAAGCGCCCACTCGTGGCTCAGGTTTCAGTGGTGGTGGTCCAGGTCCCAGAAGAGGTGGGGCCATTCTGCTTCAAAGACTGACTGAATCTCCGAAGTTGTCAGGGACAGACAAGTATCCAGAAGTGCCCCTGTATCCCTGGTTTGGTCTCCAACCTTTGTGTAGGCACAGAAAAATTTCTAGCCCTGAAGGAGTTCCCTTATCTGCACTCCCGTACCCAGCTCACCAAGAACTCCTGGCGCGATGAGATTGAAGAAAACCCAGAAGAAAGCCTGGTCCGAGCTAGGGCGAGTGGAGGAGGAGGCACCGTGGCCAGCGGCCCAGTACTGCGGAGTGAAGCCAGCGGGCCGGCGCCAGAGCCTAGCAGCCACCAGGGGCCGCAGGAAGCACCCCGGGGAGCGGCGGCGGCGCGGGAGCAGCACAGAACGGCAGCCAGTTCGGGCGGGCGTCATCATGGACAAGAAGTTGTTCACCAAGGAGCTGGACCAGTGGATCAAGCAGCTGAACAAGCTCTCCAAGACCCAGGTCAAGAGCCTCTGCGAGAAAGCTATAGAAATCCTGACAAAGGAATCCAACGTGCAAGAGGTTCGATGTCCGGTCACTGTGTGTGGAGATGTACATGGGCAATTTCATGACCTCATGGAACTCTTTAGAATTGGTGGTAAATCACCAGATACAAATTACTTGTTTATGGGAGACTATGTGGACAGAGGATATTACTCAGTTGAAACAGTTACACTGCTTGTAGTTCTTAAGGTTCGTTACTGTGAGCGTATCACCATACTCCAAGGGAATCATGAGAGCAGACAGATCACACAGTTTTATGGTTTCTATGATGAGTGTTTAAGGAAATATGGAAATGCAAATGTTTGGAAATACTTCACAGACCTTTTTGACTACCTTCCTCTCACTGCCTTGGTGGATGGGCAGATCTTCTGTCTACAGGGCAGTCTGCCACCATCCATAGACACACTGGATCACTTCCGAGCACTTGATCGCCTACAATCAAGAAGTTCCTCATGAGGGTCCAATGTGTGACTTGTTGTGGTCAGATCCAGACGACCGTGGCGACTGGGGGATATCTCCTCGAGGAGCTGGTTATACCTTTGGCCAAGATATATCTGAGACATTTAATCATGCCAATGGCCTCACGTTGGTGTCCAGAGCTCACCAGCTGGTAATGGAGGGATATAACTGGTGCCATGACCGGAATGTAGTAACAATTTTCAGTGCTCCAAACTATTGCTATCGTTGCGGTAACCAAGCTGCAATCATGGAACTTGACGACACTCTTAAGTATTCTTTCTCGCAGTTTGATCCAGCACCTCGTAGAGGGGAGCCAAATGTCACTCGTCGTACCCCAGACTACTTCCTGTAATGGAAATTTAAACTTGTACAGTATTGCCATGAACCGTATATTGACCTAATGGAAATGGAAAGAGCAGCAGTAACTTCAAAGTGTCAGAAAATAGTTAGCATTCAAAAAACTTGTTTTTACACGGACCAAAAGATGTGCCATATAAAAATACAAAACCTCTTGTCATCAACAGCCGTGACCACTTTAGAATGAACCAGTTCATTGCATGCTGACGCGACATTGTTGGTCAAGAATCCAGTTTCTGGCATAGTGCTATTTGTAGTTACTTTTGCTTTCTTGAGAGACTGCAGAAATAGGATGTAAACATTAACACCCGTGAGTCCAGTTGACTTCCACTTAGCTGTAGCTTACTCAGCATGACTGTAGATGAGGATAGCAAACAATCATTGGAGCTTAATGAACATTTTTAAGTAAGTACCAAGGCCTCCCCTCTTGTTTTGTTTCTTTTCAGGGATACCATTTAATTTAATTATATGATTTGTCTGCACTCGGTTTATTCCCTTCTCCAATCTCAGCCCCACGTTGTTCTTTGTTATTGTCAGAAACCCTGTTGAGTTGTTTTGGATAGAACTGTTTCCCCTCCTGTAAGATGACGTCACTGCACAGTCACTGCAGTGTTTTCATAATAAACTTGAGAACGGAGAGAGTCAGCTTTGGATTGTATCAGTGGGCACGACTGGTGCTGTTATTCCACAAGATAAATCAATTGATCAATTTCGGAATTTGTAGAATTCCGGGTAAAGAAAAATAAAGAGCAAGGCCACTGTGTAAAAAAAAAAAAAAAAAAAAGAAAGAAAGAAAACCCAGAGCGAACCCAAGGCTCCCATGCCACCGCAGCGACCCATGAGAAGGTTTCTTTCTGAGTGTTCTGAGTCTCCAGCATGGATAGGGGGATTTGGCTAAAGTGCCAGGGCGTCTGGCTGTAAGCTGTGGGGAAGGACCCTAAAATAGCCTCTCCTCCGCGCTGGGTACTGAAGACTTGTGGAGCACATCTGCAGGTGGCCAGGGGCAGAAGAGGCAGGGAGGGCAGCCCCGGATAAATCTGCTTTTGGCTCAAACTGAGTCCTGCTCAGCGCCTGGCTTGCCTACTTTTTGTTGACTGAGAACCACGTACATTATACTTTTCTCTGCCTAGATCTGAAACATTTCACAAAATAATACTAATTTCTACTAATCTACAATTTTCGTATGCTGTGTCAATTTACAGTATTGTATTCATTAAACCTGTTTTGCATTTTGTTCCAGTAAATTCATTTCCAAACCCAATTAATATAGTCAACTCTCAGTTTGAGAAAACAACCTAAAGTGGCTTACTTAAAGTGGAAATTCAGGAATTACACTGCCTGGCATTGCAGTCTTTTTACTGTAGTGTAAGTAGTAAAAATTTTAATTTCTGTATATCTATAAAGGGGGTTCCTAAAGGGTAATATTTTAGAAATTTTGTCTCTCTGTCGGTTAAAAAGTATATATCTTTGACTATGTAATTATCTTATGTAATTGCTACATTTGATATTTTAATAAATTATAGGCATTTATCTCTCCTTTATTTTAATGTGTATTTCTTAAAAAAATAAGGGCATGTTTCCACAATTATACTACAATGATCAATTGCAAGACTCCAATATTGGTACATTTCTATTTTATAATTTTTACTGTATTCAAATTTTGATGATTACATCAACAGTCTGTAATGGCAAAATAAGAACAACAAAACTATCCACCCTCAGGATCATATATTTGATTCTTGGGTCTCTTTTTCTTTAATTTGAAAAAAAAATCATTTTTAATTGGGTTAATTAGAGTTTTAATGTCTAGTTTCTTGAGTTCTTTATATATTTTGTTGATCAGACCTTTGTCTGATGCGGGGTTGGTGAAGATCTTCTCCAAATCAGTAGGTTGCCTTTTTGTTTTAATGACAGTGTCTTTGCTTTACAGAAACTTCTCAGTTTCAGGAGGTCCCACTTATTCATTGTTGCTCTTATTGTCTGTGCTACTGGGGTTTTATGTAGGAAATGGTCTCCTGTGACCATGTGTTGTAGACTACTTCCCATTTTCTCTTCTATCAGGTTCAGTGTGTTCAGATTAATATTGAGGTCTTTAATCCATTTTGACTTGAGTTTTGTGCATGGTGATAGATATGGATCTACTTTCATTCTTCTACAGGTTGACATGCAGTTATGCCAGCACCATTTGTTGAAGGTGCTTTCTTTCTTCTGAAGGTGTATAGTTTTAGCTTCTTTGTCGAAAATCAGGTGTTCATAGGTTTGTGGGTTAATATCCAGGTCTTCTATTCAATTCCATTGGTCGACTTTTAATGTCTTGTTTCTTCACCATAGAACCTTCATTCAGCGATGGATGGAGACAGAGACAGAGACCCACACTGGAGCACTAGACTGAGCTCCCAAGGTCCAAATGAGGAACAGAAGGAGGGAGAACATGAGCAAGGAAGTCAGGACCGTGAGGGGTGCATTCACCCACTGAGATGGTGGGACTGATCTAGTGCAAGCTCACCAAGATCATTTGAACTGGGACTGATGGAGCATGTGATCAAACCGGATTCTCTGAATGTGACTGTCAATGAGGGCTGACTGAGAAGCCAAAAACAATGGCACTGGGTTTTGATTCTACTGCATGAACTGGCTTTGTGGGAGCCTAGGTTGTTTGGATGCTCACCTTCCTAGACCTGGATGGAAGGGGGAGGTTCTTGGACTTCCCACAGGGAAGGGAACCCTGACTGCTCTTCGGACTGGAGAGGGAGAGGGAGAGGGAGTGGAGGGAGTGAGAGGGAAATGTGAGGTGGGGAGGAGGTGGGAATTTTTAATAAATAAAATAATTTTAAAAAATCTCCCAGAGTATTGTGTGTGTGTGTGTGTGTGTGTGTGTGTGTTGTAGTATGTGATTGTGTTCATGTGTTTTCACATGTGCTTAAAGATGTATGTGGAGACCAGAGGCTAATGTCAATGTTTTTATCTGCTTTCCACTCTCTTATTTGAGGCAAGGTCTCTCTCTGAACCCCAAACTTGCAGATTATGCTAGGCTGGCTGCTTAGTGAGTTCCATTTGCTGTTTCTGCCTCTCTTGTGCTAGGATGACAGGTATACTGGGTGTAGCTTTTTACCTGGATTCTGGAAATTTGAACTCAAACCCTGGTGCTGGTATGACAAGCATTTTACTGACTGAGCCCTTCCCAATTCCTGGATCAGGAACTATGTTGTTCTTTCATTGTTTGTCTTTGGTATCTTTGAAGTAACTATTTTTCTAGAATGGCACTCAAAGTATTTGTCTATCATACAGTATGGTAACAAATTACCCTATAATTAGTAGTGGCTTAAAGTGAGGCTTAATAATACTTTTTAGTTTCTGAAGTCATAATTTGAAGGAATTTAGCTGGACTGGACATCTTCTCAAATACTGTGATCAAAATGATAGCCAGAACTGCAGCTATCTGGATGACTGGGACAGGAAAAGCACACAGAAGATGCACAGTCAGTGGCTGTTGGCTGGATTCCTCATTTCTTCATCATGTGTATGTGGAAAATGGACTGTTGAGTTATAGGGGTTGAAACTTCTTCTATTATTAGAGACAGCTAACTTATTTCAGATCAAGAAGAACAAAAGCCAGAATGTCTTTCATGATTCTCAGAAGTCATAACATTTTCAGAACAAAGATCAGTCTTTCTCAGTGCCAGACACTATGCATGGATGGGGATACTGGGAGTCAAAGATGAAGAGTCAAGTGAAGACTGGTTGCCAACATCACTCAGTTTGGTTTTATATAATGTTTCTTCACAATTAGATTGAAATTTTGCCTTTTTTGGCAGAGATATCAGAGAATGGATGCTCTCGCATGTCTGTATATACACATTACCTGATGGTCCTTTTATTGGTAGTGGTCACTTTTATCATATAAACAGGTTTTTGCAGTTAAGTAATTATTGTCCCCTTAATATTGACAAGTATTTTGGGGGAGAAATCTCTCAAAACTATATAAACACTTCATTTAAAAATCAAAATTTCACCTGCTAATGTTTGCTCATTAATAATTTTTTTATCTTACTCAATTACTACTGTATGACTCCTGTATGATAGTCAGCCATTACATTTATATTCATTAATTGATATTCCACTGAAAAGACTTTCTCATCTATTCATTTATTCATTAATTTTTCTATATAAAATCACCATGGAACCAGTGTCTATATCAATATGAAATTACTTATTTAGTGAGCCATCATCTTTTATTAAAGTTATTTAATTCATAAATTGTACCTGCCTTGCCCTGTAGGAGATCTCAAAATAGTCCCTGTTTCTCTTTTGTCCAATTCTTACAAATTTTTGAGTACTTCAATTTGTGATTTTCAAGATTCACCACTGGAATTTCCTCTTTCTCTAAGGAATATTGGCTCTTCTTCTTTTAAAATCAGTGTACACATTTTCATTTTGCTTTTTTTGTCATGGTTAGACTCTAAACCCTGAACACTGCATTCATTGTTAGTGGAGTACCACTGCTTCTTTACCTTCTTTGCAGACAAAATGAGAAAAAGCGAGCATGAAGCTGTAGTCTAGTCCTATGTCTCTGTAAACTTTTTCCTTCTTTACATCTGCCATTGATCTATATTATGTCTTCTAATTCCAGTTCTGACTATAGATTTCCCCATCTTTCCTTCTGTCTCATTTGTAATTCTGTCCTCCAAAGGCAAATCACTTAGTTCCACAATATACTTATTTATTTGTTCTACAGAAAAATAAGTTTAAGAGTTGCTAAATTTATCATGGTAAAATGAAACCTGGAAAATTTTTAAGTTTTATTTTATTTGTGCACTGAAAGCATAGAAACCATTAATCTCCAACTCACAGTATTCTCTTCCATTCTGGAATATAGAGGAACCTTAAACTGCTTAGGTTAAGTAGCCTTCTCCAATGCAAATATATTAATCATTTAGATTGGGTTATTTTCCTTTGTATTACATTTTAGTTTGTTTCTCATCATTTTTACTTAGAAAACACATAGTTTTAAATATAAAAACTGTTCAAAATGTATGATTAGAGAAATGCCTATCCTTTTTTATTGTATTTTCACCTACTGGCTATAGGTAATATATTTCAGTATTTTCTTGTTTATCTATTTTATTTTTTCCCCAGTGAGCAAACACATAATTGTGTTCTTATTTCTTTTTCACATATAAAAGAAAGTATGCCATTGCTTAGGGTTATAACCCTAACCTTCCTTTATTTTTCTTCACTAAACAAATACATTAGACTTCACTCCTTATACAGTAAGAGGTATTCCTTACTCTCTTTATTGATGTATGGTTGGTGTGGGAGAATTGTCTGTATTCTGTCAATCATATTTTAATAAAACGCTGATTGGCCAGGCAGGCAGTATAGGCGGGAAAGCCAGACAGGAAGTAGGGGTGGAGCAAAGAGACTGGGAGTATTCTGGAAGCAGAAGCTCCCTCTGCCACTCCTGCACAGACCACCGAAGAGACAGGATGTAACCTGCCCAGCTGAGAAAGGTACTGAGCCGTGTGGCTAACGTAGATAAGGATAATGGGGTAACAAAAGTTGTAAGAGCTAATAAGTAGCCTGACCTAATGGGCCAATCAGTTTATAACCTTATGGAGTCCTGTGTGTGATTTTCCTTG